AATTGCCTTTAAGTGATCAGAGGTCTTCAATTCATTCATTTCTTCAGACAAAGGTTCATCAAGATTGTTAACGGAATAATCCGTCTCCTTTGATTCATTACTAATCTGAAGAAAAAAAAAGGTGGAGAGCTTGTTAATAGCATCCTCATGTCTTGTTGAACGACTCTCCATCTCCTTTTCGAGTCTATTAATCTCTTTTCCAATTCTTCAATCTTGGAAAAAGGATAGTAAGGAGGGAATGCTGGATTGGATTGATCATATTGGGTTTGCTCGAAAGAAGGTTGGAAAGGGGGTTAAAAATCAGGCTAGATGCGGGTGAAGGAGTCGCGGCCGCGGTGGAGCTTTTCTTGGCCGCGGTCAAAAGCATCCCACCCACGGTGAATGCTAGCTTTGCCTCGGTTGAGAAGATCCCACCCCTGGTTGAGTTGATTCCGCTCAGTCTCTTCAATCTGTGATGTGCTGTCGTGTCGAGGGTTGTCAAGTTTTACCCTAAATGAAATCAATAGCCGCAAGTGCACAGCTGATCGATTGTAATACTTAGGGATCGAATCCACAGGGAAGGAGGATCTTTCCTGCAAAAGCCTTCGAAAGAAATATAAAGTAAGGAAGTCTAGAACCAGGCGATTTTTGTGAGGGTTTTGGTGGTGTCTTTAAAATGTAAAAACTAATCTTAAAGAGAAAATACGGGAATTAAAATGATCTAGTAATTAAACTTAACGAAAACGACTAAAAACGAGAAAAACGGCTAAACCTAATTGCTTAAGTGAAAATCGATTAAGAGAATGAAAATACTAGTCTAAAGCTTGAATAAAAATCGGTGTAAATCTATAGGAAAGAAGGCGTTGGGTTTCAGGGAAGTTTTCTCAGGGGTACAAACGATTCAAAACATTGCTAGAGAGTAAATTTGATAAGATCTTAGCTTAAACTTTTTGAACTAGAGTCACGGACGTATGAATACGCCACTGTCGTGATCATAGACAACTATCTCTCTCAACTCTGACCAGTAGGTTTCCACTCTGGCCCTGGAAGAGAAGAGATGTATTATGTTTAAGACTCGTCAGCATTCACAAATCGTCCATAGGTAGGTTTCCACTCCTATGTTTGTTTTGCTCTCCCAAACTAGATCTGACACCGGATGAACACTTTCGTGTCACCAAGCATCTAGATCAGGTTGTAGTTCTTGACGCTACTCTCATGCAGTAAAAATAAATTTAGAAGAAAAAGTTCTAAGATTCGGCTTCAATAGCTCATGGAATCCTCATCGAACATATGTATCCCCATCGAAAATCCCTTAGACCCAACAATAAAACTACTTAGACATGATGAATGAAATCAAAAACATAGTATTAAAAAGTAAAACAGAAACCGAAATTGAAAAAGAAAGAACAAGGGTTCAAGAGACAAATTTCTCTCTCCCTAAAACCTAAAAACAAAAGCTTAAAGTAAAATTTCTTGTAAAGTATTTTGTCTCTCTTCTTCTCTCTCTAAAAACGACCTAAATGATATGTATTTATAGTCTCCAATGCTCTCTGGTCTTTAGGGTTCCAGAATTGAGGCTGGGAAAATGATATGGGCTTCAGAAATGGGCCATCGAACTCGGAGTTGGCTGGCCACGGTCGGGATGTGCGTGATCGCGGGAATGGATAGCTGGCCGCGGTCGGGATGTGCGTGACTGCCGGGAATGGGCTGTTGGCTGCAGGTGGAAGTGATTATCGGCTGGTTTACGGGACAGCTTGCTCTTCGCGTATCTTTTGATTGAACCGTTGGATTACCAAGCTGTAAAGTGTGCTGGAAAGATGATACTTCCATCTTTGAGATCTCCAAATTTGAGCTGGATCAGACGGTGAGAAGGCCTTCAATCGGGGGTGAACTTCTGACGGTTTGACTCTGAGCTGAAAATTTGGTCTTCTATCCATTTTGTTAAGCTTTTCCCTAAGTTTCCTGAAAAGAGTCTTGGAACTACAAATACTAGAAAAACGTAATAAAAGTACTTGAAAGCAATAAAAAACATAGAAAAATTATTTCAAAACGATCCATAAAAGTGGTCAACATACGGTGTTATCAATATGGTAAACATCAGCAGTTTGAATCATCTTCTCAATGTGAGGCTCATTATGGTTGCTTCCATTATCAGGGTTATGAATCGAACCATGTTTACTAAATATCATCTGGAGATATTCCAAAATCTGTTTTAGACATTCTTTATCAGCATATGATTCTTCTTCCTTGATCTTAGGACATCTAGATTGGATTAGAAGCCTTCTATTTCTGATACTTCCAGCTAGATTAGTGATATAGGTGTGAACCTCATCTACAGATCTAGTGGAAAATTCTCCATTGCTAGAGGTATTAAAAGAAAACTTCAGTTCTTCATTAACTCCATGGTAGAAGATGGTCATTAAACGCTACTCGGAGAACCGATGGTGTCGACAATCGTTGTATTCAGTTAATGGGAAATTAGAGATGAAAATGCAGAATCAATGAATAAAATATTGACCGGAGAAACAATTAAGATGTAGTTAGATACAAATAAACCAACGACACAATCAGATATGAGCTAATCAGAGAGGTTGTAGAACTTGGAGGATAGGTAGATGCATGTGGTGACAGAGGATAAAAGAGTGGAAGTATTACGTGTACAGTATGTTTTTCTACTCGAAGAGGAAGGATACGGGCGATCAAAGGCTATAAAACTCGGCGTATGTAGCTCCAATTCTATTAAATAAAAAAACCAAAGTACCGCTAACAAAATATACAAGAAACTGATACCTTGAATGAAAGGTTGAATGCATACACCACTCCAATGTCCCTAGAAGTTTATCAACCTATAAAACAAAAACAAAATTCTTTGATATATAAGCAGTAAGAAATAAGAACAACAATATTAAACCAAGCGAAAAAACAAATATAAAAAAGTACTCACAAAAACGACAAACACTACAAAGAAAACAAAAAAAATTATTATACATTAGAGATCTCAATCTAGGGTTTTCACACGCCGTATTGTATTGACGATGCATAGAAGTTGTATTTATAGAGTTTATGCAAATTAGGATATCAAATAAATCGGATAAAATCGAATGGGCCGAAACTAATATAGATCCACGATGAGTTTTTATTTTTATTTTTGGTAAGTATTTTGAATTAATTAATTAATTATATATAAATATTTTCATTAAGGGGTAATGGATAATTAACCACGCTGAAACTTAATGAGAGGCTTCCAAAGCTTATTCTGAACCCACTTTTAATATATACTAGTATTTAGTCTGCCCTACGGGCGGGTGGAGATTAAAAAATAAAATTGTTATATTTATAGCTTTATGGGAGAGAAGTACTTTAAATAAATATAAATTGAGTTAACTCATAATATTTGTGTTTCTTTTTTTTTGTTTGCAGTGCGTTTTTTTTAACTGAGATGTTATTACATTATAGCGTTGTTTTTGTGAGATAACTGAAAGTTTTTGTTGCAATATTATTTGTTTATTGTCAAGACTGCATTTGATTGGTTGTTAGAGCATCTCTAATATATTTTCCAATTTTTATCTCCAAAATGGAGGAACTGCAAAATGGAGTTGGATTTATCTCCAATGTATTCCTCCATTTTCAACTCCATAAAGAATATTCTAAGTATATTCTTCCTTTTTATTTTATTGTTAAATACTAATAATGCACTCTATTTATAAAAATTACAAATGAACCTGTTTATTTTTTTCTCTTAAAACTTTCATAAATTATAATATTATTTTAAATTCAACCACTATAATATAAAAATAACATTACACACCATTTAAAAGAAGAAAATTAAGTACATTTTAATTTAAATATCACCATTTGAAGACTTTTCCCACAAATGATCAATTAAAGCATTTCGAAGTGAAAAATGAGCGTTTTTATCTTGGATTTCTCTGAATCAAGCAAGAAAATTTTGGAACCGGATAATTTCGTCCTTAGCTACTTCTACCTCTGGAGGTGGAGCTTCTCTTCCATTTTTAATCGGTGCATCAAGATCACGCTCATCCTCGACTATCATGTTATGTAGAATTATACATGTAGTCATTATGTCATTTAACACATTTTTTTTCCAAAAACGAACTGGACCTTTCACAATAGCAAATCGCGATTGGAGAAATATTAATCAGTTGTTTTAATAAATTTATTTTATGTTTTTTGTAATTTCAGTATTTTTAATTTTATGTTATTTCTAGTTTCAGTCAATCTTCTTATTTTTTTATTTTCTGTTCTCAAATTTTAAATCTATCTATCTTTAATTTTAAATTAAATATATATAATATAAAGGATTAAATTATAAATTAAAAATATTTTTTTAAGAATTTATGAAAAGTAAATGACTATTTTGTAAATAAAAAGGTTCACCTGCAAAATGGAGTTAAAAATGGGTTTACTCCATATTTGGAAGAAAAAAATGGCATTCCTCTATTTTGCAGGTGAAAATGGGGTAGGATTGGAGAAGATTTTCCTCCAAAATGGCATTTGAAGGAAAAAATTGAGTAGGGTTGGAGATGCCCTTAATACATTTAGTGTCCAAAATTATTATGTTTTCCAACTGCCAAGCTTGCTTTTACGTTTCTGTTTTAGAGGTTGGTGGTTTGAAGGTGCTTTAAGAGGTAGATACGAAAAAAAGGTGAAGAAGATGAAGCTAAATATACAAAAATAGTGGCTAATTTAATGTGCGAGAAATGTAGGGAAGAAAGAATTAAGAGGTAGAGAAGTGGGGGGAGATGAGAAGACCACTGACTACCAATCTACCATAACTGAGCTTACACGTTGAATTTTGTCCTAACCACGTGGCTATCCTTGATAGCCTTTTCTTTGATGAGGTGGATAACTCCTAGAAACGAAAAGCTTTCGTAGAGTTTGTTCTTTGGTTTGATGATGTGGCAAGAGAATAGAATGTTTAGAATTGATGGTGTGGATAGGGTGAGCTTTTTTATAGTACTAGGATATATATATATATATATATATATGATTTGGCCACACATCGTGAACCGACTTCTCTAATCTAATCATCTAACCGATTTATATAACTTGGTTTAGTCAAACCGAAGCGGATAGCATCCAATGTAAGACTTCTATGCACTAAATCATAAGGCTTTGAAAAACAAAGAACCATTGGCTTCCCTATGTTTTCAGTTCCTTTTGAGAATTGGGGTCTTGAGGCTAGAATCATAGACATAACCAGCTTTGCTCCTCGAATCTGTCTCTTTCTTCGTCTCCGCTTCTTCATCTTTCTTCTTCTTGTACCGTGCAACATACTTCTGGTACTCCTCAAGCTCTGTCTCCAGTTTCTCTATGAACTCGCTCGTATGTTCCAGCGATTGCTCATACCGATATTTCTCCAAAGCCTGCCGTTTCATTTACTTTTGTCAGCAGAATAAAGAGATTTACCTAACAAAGTTTAAACATACACAACATAAAGTATCTGGATTCATCATACCTTATCTTTAGACAGTGTATCAATAGGAGACATCACTTCTGGTCTCACGTAGTTTTTCCCACGGTACAATATTATGGTGTTGTGAGGTTTGACATCAATCACAATGCCCTTGCTTAGCCGAGCAAGCTCTTCTGCGTACTCATGAATCTGCCCAGGTTTGTTGCAGGGCTTGCAAATCACTTTAACCGTTTCGTGCTTTTTCCAATGGAGGTGCATATTCAGAACCACGCCTCCAAACACTCCTCGTCTCCCAACAAGGACAAAGTTCTTTCTCTTTTCTCCTGTACGTTTTAGGTAATGCTGCTCTTCCTCTGTCAAGGTTTCTGGATCATAGGGTTCCGCTGGTGATTTCGGCACATCGTATTTCCTCAGTTTCTCAATCAACCATTCTTCTTTTCTCTTAGCCTGTAGCAGATAAAAAGGGGTGGCAAAAGAGGAAAAACAATGTAAGATTTTTGAATATATCAGAGATACTAATATGTTCATTGGTTAATACTAATGAACAGATCATGGAAGAAGATGCCTAATATGGCTGAACAAATCATTGGATTTTTCTTAAGATTCCTTCACATACACAGCATGAACATATAATGAAAAGTTTGCAAGAAACGTAATTAAATCGAAGTTGAGTAATGAAAAGATGAGCAAACAACAGTTAGAGAATATGAGACACTATGAATACTCAATTAACCTTTTCAAGCTTGTAACGAATCCTAACTTCAGGGTTTGGAGAATTCATCTTCTTTTTGGCCTTTAAACGGTAGAACCTTAACTCATTCACCTTAGCCTTTCTCGATGATTTAGCCCGTTTCCATTTCTTTTCTTTCCTCATAGGCACACTTTTGTTGTCAGGGACATTGTTGAAAGAAAACCTCACCACATTATCATCTGTTCTTAGCTCTATCGTCGAATTACTCATGTAACGTCTGTTATACGCAAATACATCCTGCCTTGATGCTCGTAAAAGCTCGAAAGAAGGTGATTCATATGGGACTTCTACAAAAGGTCTCTGCTTTGCATAAACGGAGTAGTTATGGAATTGATGGTTAAGCAGGCAGAGTCTAGAGGTCCTGCCAAAAACCCGAGAACATGTCTATCAGAAAACATAGACTGGAAAGCAAAAACTTTTCGGTTTATACATTGAAGAAACCACATAGAAGCCGAAAATTTGCAGATAAATTGATGTGTGTTCTTATAACATGACCTATAAGAAGACACAGAAGAAAAGCAAAAAACTTTCAAGTTTCAAGAACAGAAAAGTACAAAAATTGCAGACAATTGATGATGAGAAGTTAATCAATAATCTGATTTAGACAAAAACAAGAATCTGTAATCATTTGAAACAACAAAAAAAAGAGGGGAAAACGTGATTACCATCTGGGAATCCTGAGATATCGATTAGCGATTCCTTTGGCATAACTTAAAGCTAACATCATTACATCCTATGAATTTTCTCGTGGGGCAATGTGGGAAGAGTTTCAACAACCAGAATTGACCGGTTTCTTTAAATCGGCTGGTTCAGGCAACAAGGATCTGATAAGCACAGAGGGGTCAAGTCGCTTCTTATCTTCACCAGAAGATCGGATAAACTCAGAAATAAGAGAAATTACAAACCTTGAAATAGAAATATCACTTTAAGAGACAAATAGAGAAAGAAAAGATTCGTCGACGGAGGCGACGGTTAAACGGGAAAATTATGGATTGCCGTCGCTGCCGAACTTAAGCACGGACGAAGAGAAGACGACATTTTTGTCAATGGTTTTAGGCTCTTAGCATCAAAGGATTAAAGACGAAGTATATCGGTTTGATATAACCGGTCGGTTTAGTTTGTAAATAATGGTTTTATTATTTTGCTTGGTGTTGCAATAAAACTTCTATAAATTAATATAAATTAATAATGTCAACTAGATTCTAATCCTTTCAAGGGCTGAAGTAATTTTTGTTTGCTAAAACTAAATTAAAACAATATTTAGATATATAATTATAATAATATTTATATTAGTATATAGAATTTTATGTTATGGACGAAATGATATGTGAAGTTTAAACATTGATATATATAAAATTTATGATATAAAAATATAGGTATAGTTTAGCATTCATTAATTATATATATTATATAAATATATTAATTATATATATTACATAAACCGCAATTTGTTAACAGTTTTTAAAAGATGTTAAACCATCACTTTATCATTTATATAATGCAAACATAATGCAATGGCTCAAAAAGCGAATTGTAAAGAAAACAGATAATGCAAATTTAAATGTTAACAACATATGTCTTTTTTCATTCTTCAGTAGTTGGTTTAGACTCTATACTAATCAGATGGATATCAATTATATAAATAACTGTTAGAATTTAAATATAACATAATATTCGATCTAGTTAATTGTAAAAGGAAGTTCAGTTGAAAATGATTCAAATATGTCAAATACAAAAAAACAAGTCCAGACCATAAAAAGAATTATGACAAATAAAAAAACACTTGTAGATATTTTAAAATATTGTCATTCTCTAATATCTCCTTAATTGTCACAAACTGAACATAAATCCATCTCCAAGAAAATAAATATAAGAACGCTTGTTACTAAAAATAACCATAAAGTGGTTTCTACGAGTCTGTGACAAAAATGATGGATCTCTATACATCTATTTGATAGGTAAATGTAAGCATCATAACATATACATATGAATAACCTCTTGCTTTTTTTTTTGATATCGACAACCTCCTATATTGGTAGATCAATCAAAAATTGTGAACAACCTGTAAGAGATTGAACACATATTCTCCCATCGTTTTGATCTACATAATATAACATATTTTTATAAGTAACATATGAATGTTTCTTTTTCAAATATTACAGAATTATTTTTATTGAATAATAAATTATACTACCATTTACCTTCCTTAATCACCCAAAATCTAACAACACATACTGACCGATAAGATTATTCACTTCATCAGTACTAAAAACCTGATTTCCTTTCCAAACATTTCCCATCTTGTATGTATTAGTACTACCGTAAAGATTTTCTTTCTCAACACAAATTAGAAACTGAAAGGTCTTTCCAACCAGGTTTTTCAGTGCATCAAGAACGACATCCGGATATTGTATCTATGGTGAAACATATATAAAGTATATTTTAAGCAACTAAAGTTTTCACAAACTAATATTTTACTCTCAAATAAATAAAATATACAATCAATACCTCATCGAACTTCCTTTGAGGATTTCATCCTCAGATTGATCTACAATATCTTTTGCATTTGGATCAAAAAGAAAACATTTGATATAGCCGATGTTGTCCATAACGCAAAGATGAAATTTTTACCTACAAATATATAACGATTGTATTTAATAAAGTTGATTGTAACTTCACTTAATTATTACATAAATTTATAAAATATAGCAAAGTATTTTACCTCGCACTGAAAAATGAAACTTTTACATTACATGTTTAACATGAATAAAGCGTCTTAGTTTTCTCAGAGACTTTTTGATCCTCCTCCTTTGGGATTTTGTAGATTTTGTACCACACTTGGTGCAAACCAAGTAAAACCATGATCAATTTGTGTCCACCGCGTAGATGGTGCACATGATTTTATATTTGCCAACCTGATTAAACCAAAATAGAAAATTTACAATCATTGAATCTTATGGGATGATAAGCATAACATATCAAGTTTAAAACATGGATTTATATATCTCAAGATAGTCTTGCAATTCTGAAATAGTGATCATTGGAAACTGATCAAAGTTAATCTCATCATCACAAGAAACCCTCTGTAAAGGTTCGCTATTCAAGAATGTAATACGTCCGCCATTCTCAGGTAAACTAAAAATAGACATGGATTAGTTGTATTCATAATCGTGGTGATACAATATATATATCTAATATATATATAATGATTATGCATTCTTTAAATACAATGACATCGGGATCGTTAAAATATATCAGAACCTCATATGTTTAGAAAGAACTTGTAATTTGACGATCACTTACCATATATGACAACAAAGAAACATCGGCGTTGCATGTAATGTAGAAATAGCAAGTTTTTCAAAATTAAGATATACCTCTAAGCACATTGGTTTTTTCAAAACAGATCACAAGGATGACACCACTTTCACCAGCATTCTGACAACCCGAATAGACTTGCTTGCCAAACTTTTCCTACAATGTGCATGGTAAACGCTTATCACAGTTAATATAAGCGAGCAACAAATTTCAAATTAAACCGCTGAATGTTGATTGAATAAAGTATAATTATATCTATATACTCACTCAGTATTTCTTAGATCGAACTCGAGCTTGCTGGTGTCCTTATTCATAACATGGATTGTTTCGAACTCACGAACGTTTACAACTTGTCCAATAACATCTATTTGTAAAAAAATAATGTCAGATAAGTATTGAAAATAATATGGATTAATCGAGTACATCAAGTAGGTCAAAATACTTACCAACCAAAAAACTTGTATTGGTAACATCGTACAATATTGTACCAATCTCTGAGAAACAAAAAACCAACTATCTGCCAATTAGAACTTTTACTGACAGCGCTAGAGGCTATGAAGGACATCTAAATTGATGTTTAGTGGCCCGGTATTGACCTGATATCTGGTTCAATGCAAATTTCTCAATGAACTTCCATTCACCGACAACCATCATCCGATCTGTTCAAAACAAGGAACAAAATTTTTCTTGACAATAGCGTGAATTTTGGTACCTTAGAAGAGAAAATATGAAAACATAATTGGCGATAAATATTGTATTGTACTATTTCATCAGTCAGGATGATTTCCAAAGACTCTCCACTCTTGATTTGGTATTGTTTCGAAGTGTGAAACACCTTCACATGAACCTTCCACCCAGTCTTAAAGGGCTTCACGTCAGATAAAGGTGTTAACTTCATTGTGGAAGCTATTGAAAAATTATAAGTGAATAAAATAGAGAAGAAACATAATGTTAATGTGGAGTGTTATGGAAGAAAGGGTAGAAGTATTTATAGAAAAAAGATAGGGTTTCTTGCTAAGCCGTTAAGACGTAAATAAATTGGCGGTCTAGAATATTCGTAAAATTTATAATTATTAAAATATATATGCTAAAGATCAAATAACGTTATTTTTGTAAAGTATGTGTAATTGACTATATATACGGGAATGCGAAATAAATGGGATAATAGTTACTCACCAAATAATATAATTTCAAAAATGAGCGTCAACTTTATTATTTTGAAAATTATGGAATACAATATCTAATACAACATATCCGAATATATATTTTTGATTGAATGTGGACAAATAAATTAAGTGGGATTATTTGGTAGTTGAGCGGCAGCAAAATAATTTTGAATAATTACATTTATTCTGTATGTTGTTACAATTGTATCTCCTAATATAGTGTGTGTTGTTGAATTTGGCAACAATATTTATTTGGATCATTATTAATAATGATTATGAGAGGATTTGCAGTATATTTCATTCGAAGAAGTAATCTTGCTAATATATTCACATGAATTCGACAACTATTGCGATGTTTAAGGGTTTTTTTTTTCTACTAGTAGGAGCTATAGTTACATTTACATATTACATGTAATTATTCGAAAAATTAGCGCGTATATGATAATGGGTTACATTTAGGATCCGCGTCCTTTTAAATAGATCAACTTAAAAGGACGCAGATCCTCTTTGGTTTCATCTCTTTTTTTATTCCTCGATTACATATTTTTCTAATGACATTCATTGTAATATATTACATAATATTGAGATTTTTTTCTAAATATAATTCTCCTTTATTATTATAAGATATTTTATTAATTAATAATTTTTATAAAAAAAACTATTTTGTCTCTATTCTTCTTACTTTTCTTTCAGCTAATATTTTATTTGAAAATTTTAACTAAAAAGCTCATAAAATTGCATGCAAAACTTGATTAATAATTTTTAACAATCACAATTGTAATATAATAATCTTATATTATTATTTGAGAAGGACACTTAAAAAACAATATTTACTTCATGTATTATTTACAGTAAAAAAAACTTAAAAGACCATCAACTATTTAATATTTGCCAGATTTCTACCCGAACTTTTTGCGTTGCCAGAAACCTACACGAACTAATTTTTTAGATAAAAACACTACCTGAAATATTTTATGGTTCTAGTTTACTGAAATCGTGGGGTGGAAACTGGAATCATAAAATATTTCAGGTATTTTTTTGATCCAAAAAATTAGTTCGTGTAGTTTTCTCGCAACTCAAAAAGTTAGGGTAAAAAACTGGTAAATATTAAATACTTGAAACTTTTACAGCTTTTTTCCCGTTATTTACATATCTGTCATGCTAAAGTGTCATCTCCATAAAGCTTTTCAAAAATTTTATTAAAAATGCTCATGTTACTACATTAATTACTATTATGCCAGTTTCATTCAATTAATGTATAACCTTCTTTGTATTTTATAACATACCCTAACATTATAATAAACATCTCATGGACATAAAAAATTATAAATAATTATATGTAGTATATCATTAATTCAATATATATATATATATAAATTATTTAGATAATATTGTATGGTACATTTAAATTATTTTCAGACATCTAAATCACAAATGGATAAATAATGTTGTTAAAACATACAATTATCCTTTGCAAAGATGTTAAAAATTAATCATTTAAAAATAACATCAGAGCATATAAATAATTAGTTATTTATTTAAAACAAATAAAATACCTTTACAT